CTTCAATGCGCTTCATAGTATTTAACCCATAGTATGATATTATACTATGGGTTAAATATTTATTACCGAAACAAGTGCCTGTGACCGTGACACCGCGTCAAGTGTTTTCTTCATCTCATAACACAGCATCTTCGCTAGGCAAGGGTGACTGATAGGTATACTGTCCTCTTACATGAATAGCCTATAAGTACAGGTAACCCTCGCTGTGGAAAGGAGTCCCCACCCCTGATATTCAACCCCGGGGCTTGTTTGATATTTTTTCACAAATTATATCTATTACACTTGTTCATCATGTGTACCATTCTCTTCTACATGTATGTCATGAGCTTCTTCGCTAGCCAAGGATTATCCCATATTCAGCCCCGGGGCTTATAAAAGGGATCCCTCTTGTAATGCCTAGTAGAGTTGGGTTTTTTTTTGGAACAATTATTTTGGGGTTTTAACTAATTTTCTTATGGTACACATAGGGAATAAGTGTAATAAATATAATTTGTGAAATAAAGTCCAGCAAGCCCCGAGGTTGAATTGGTGGGGGGGGGGGGGGCTGCTGTCCACAAGTACCTGTAGTAACCCTTGGCTAGCAAAGATGCTCATGACATACATGCAAGAGATTAAATTCTCAGTACTTAATTTGAAAGATATATCTCAGTTTAAAAAACTTCTATGACGTCACCGTTATTAGTCTACGTATATTTTACCGATTCAACCAGCACTAGTTGGATATTTAAAGATCCAACTGGCCATCAGTTGGATATTCAAAATATCCAACCGACAGGCAGTTGGATATTCAAAATATCCAACTGCCTATCGGTTGGATATTTAAATACCCAAATGAGGTGCAGAAAACATAAAACAATGAACAAAAGAGATAAAACAATTTTAAAATGTATTTCCAATGCATGTGAAAAATAATTACTCCGAATTTGCCACACTATTAGAATCAATTTCCAGTGCACACGGAATTACCGTAATAACTTCACATTTATTGTGTTTCAAACGCACTTCCAATGCTCACAGAAATAACAATTCCTCCGAATTTTGCACACTTTTAGGAATGTTTTCGGTCTTAAATCTTGAAAGCATCACTTTTTAACACATAAATACATTTTCACCTTGAATCTTAAACTGCATCACCTCTTATTGGTTAATATTATTTCAGGGTCCGTCATCCGTAAATCCCTTCAGATTATCCGATATTCATCTGTTTCATTCTTTTCCGGCGTACTTCCCAAAAAAACTGGAATAATTGACAGCCCATCTATTTTCGACACCATTTTGATTGAAGATCTTGATATGGAATTTTTTACAGCAGGTTCAGCATAACACCGCCAATCTTTTCATCTGTTTAAGCACTATTACAAGTATTGTCCGAATGGAACTCCAGAAGAATTCAACGCTTTTCCTCAACAAACCATCATCTTACGATATGTTATGACAAAATCCCAACCTTTTATAAAAATCCTGTAGTTTCCTTCAGCTTTCAGGTCAAAAGTATCCATAACACTATCTGAACCTCTCTAATTTACATTGGATTTAAAAATAGTCTTCGTCTGATTTCATGACTGTTCAGTACAATGAAAAGGGTTAAAATGAAATCAGCACCATATTATTGTAGTTTCGTGCTCACTAGTCCATGAATAAAAAGGGGTGTTCGATTAGGCCATTGTTTTGTGTAACGGTTGGATATTTGAATGGGCTACAATGAAGCGCATTGAAGTGGTAAAATTTTCTGTTTGGATGACACGTTCTGAGTCATGTTTTGAACGTCAATTATAACATAATGACACGCCCATTTCTTTAGAAACGAATAAGAAATATTCGTCAAAATGTTTAGGACACCCCACTCTTCGTGACAAACAACATAAGTTACACCGAAATGGAGATTTTTAAAGTTATAAGAGAGAGAAAGTTAGATAGTTCCTGCTTCTGTAAAGCATGTATTTCAAAGGATTTGTCAATAATTATTAATTTACAATGAAGCGCATTGAAGTGGTAAAATTTTCCATTTGGATGAAACGTTCTGAGTCATGTTTTGAACGTCAATTATAACATAATGACACGCCCATTTCTTTATAAACGAGAAAGAAATATTCGTCGTAATGTTTTAGGACACCCCACTTTCCGCGACAAGCAACATGAGTTTCACTGAAATAAAGATCTTCAAATAAGAAAGAGCTATATATAGAGTTCTCGCTTCTGTAAAACATGCATTGCAACGAATTTGTACATAATTATGATTTTGTCATGTTTATTGGAGTTAGCATAACACATGTATCAGTCGAACACGTGCTTACTCTGTGTTTATGTAGACCGTAGAGTTGATTGGCTATTATATCTATAGAATACCTGTTCTACAGGTATTCGATTACCTGTTCTACAGGTATTCGTTTTAATCATTTGACCGATTTTTCCTTTCTAAAGAAATGGGCCTGTCTAAAGATCGCTCAAAACGTTCCATCCAAACGGAAAATTTTACCACTTCAATGCGTTTCATTGTATCATGTTTATTGGAGTAACCATAACACATGCATCGGTCGAACACGTGCTTACTCGGTGTTTATGTATATAGACCGTCAATTTGATTGGTTATTATATTTATGGAATACCTGTTCTACAGGTATTCGAATGAACCATTAGACCGATGTTTTCCTTTCTAAACAAATGGGCGTGTCATTGTATGAAAATCTTTGTTCTAAAGATAGCTCAAAACGTTCCAGTCAAACGGAAAATTTTACCACTTCAATGCGCTTCATTGTACATCCTATTGTACAATGAAGCGCATTGAAGTGGTAAAATTTTCTGTTTGGATGGAACGTTTTGAGCTATATTTAGACACGCCCATTTCTTTAGAAAGGAAAAATCGGTCAAACGATTCATTAGAACATAACCTACTTATTCAGCCAATCAAATGCTTCCATTCCTCGCGAAGAATTGATTCTTCATGGTGAAGAATTCTTCTATTTCTGAATAATTCGACGGTGTCTGATTGGTTCACTTGACAGTTAAATGGGTGTGTCTTCGTTGGTCTTTGTTCAACACACAAAAAGAAACTATTCAAAACCCACGTGCTGTTTACAATGATATTTAAATTTTCTAAGCCTTGCTACACTTTTTTCCCCACTGTAATCTTTTGTCGCCTTTCTGAATATTATTTTTTTTTCCACATGTCGGTACATACAGAAAATACAACCATCGTCATGTATATATCAGAGACGAACATTGTCTTTGAAGACAGATTTTAATCACAATTTTCAACAAATTTTTATTTGATACTAGACAGCGATACCCACTCCTGCTGACTAGGGCCTTGTCATCTTAACAAAATCATTTTTCAAAAATTTAGATATTACGATTCTCGTTACATTAGTGTTCATTAGTTCAGTACCTTTAATATCTTCACCATACCATTTCCCCAGTAAATCAAGCTATTTCATATAATCTCGTGCTAACCTGACTGGGTTGGGAGTCTATTCTGAAACCGCGTGTGTTCGATATTGATTGCGTGCTCGATATGTACAACGAGCGGTCAAATTGAGCCTTATATATGACACAGCCGTGGGAGGAGTTTCTTTTGATAATCCATTCATTTGATTGGCTGATTTTTTACAGTCAGTAAGATCATATGAAGAGAAATCTTCCGCTTCGCTCCGCCCATTCTTCATGACGAAGATTTCTCTTCATATGATCTTACTATTACATAGAATACCTGTAGAACAGGTATATCATAAATATAATAGCCAATGAAATTGACGGTCTACATAAACACCGAGTAAGCACGTGTTCGACTGATACATGAGCTATGCTAAATCCAGTAAACATGATAAAATTATAATTATGTACAAATTCGTTGCAATGCGTGTTTTACATAAGCGGGAACTCTATATATAGCTTTTTCTTATTTAAAAATCTTCATTTCAGTTAACTCATGTTGCTTGTCGCGGAAAGTGTAGTGTCCCACGACGAATATTTTCCTTTCTCGTTTCTAAAGAAATGGGCGTGTCTTTATGTTATTATTGACGTTCAAAACATGACTCAGAACGTTTCGTCCAAATGGAAAATTTTACCACTTCAATGCGCTTCATTGTATTACAGTAAGTTGGATATTTGAATGGGTGAATGTTTCTTTGGGGCCCAAAGTAGGGAATTTTTTAAAGTAAGATAAATAACTCGATAGTGTTGAATAGTTTAGAGAAAACATCCCCTCCTCGGGCCTTCGGCCCTCGGAAAGAATGTTTTCTCTAAACTATTCAATACCATCTCGTTATTTATCCCTTACATATATCTGCCAGTACCACCTAGGGGCGCAAGTGAAAAAAAATGAGATACCAGTTAGATAATGTCACTGGTGAAATGTCTACAAACTCCAAATCTTATATACCTCGTAATAAAGCGGGGTCTTTGTTACACAATCAACTAGGCCTATTATACACGTAAGTTGTATTATAATCGTTTCCTTCCCCATTCCTAGCTCTGTCGCCTTAAAACGGAAAGATAATCCCAGAATTGATAAAGCGTTGATTTCCGATCATGAACTTCAGTCAATGAAATATAGAACTAAAGAAAAGGATTACTTTCTTTATTCAAAGAAAATATTCAAATCACTGAAGAAGGAGTATATATATTCAGTTAACTGACGGTTTATTAAAATTGTTTTTTCAAATTACAGATTTTACATTCTATGGCACCTGATCCCACCTCTTATATGCTTTGGAGATCCGTGTTTGCTTTGCTCCTATTTTGTATTGTTTTATGGACTTTTGATCTCGAATAATGTTTAAGCAGGGACTATGTTCTTTCTACTATAATATTTAGTATATATGTTCCTGTTTTAACTTTGTAAATAAATTTATGATTAATTCCCCCCTTTTCCAGATTTTCTTTTTCATTGCAGGTGACTGATTCATAAAATTCAAAAACCCGCGCTCAGACGCGAAACATTCTAGGTATGTTTATTCAGAAGACCCAATTTTTGAACGAGTTGTTCAAGGATAGTTCGAAATTCCTCGAATTTACTTAGGCTGGAAAAACCAAACATGAATGAGAGAAAATGAAACAAAACATGTGATTCAGGTATGGAGATTTAATATTTAGAAAATTTAAAATGTAATTTCTGTGTATTTCCTTAAAACTCTCTTTTTCCGGATCTTTTATGAGCTTAACAATAACAGTTGAACTCAAACATGTCAAAGTTGCAGATTTTTGCGTACGACGGTTTAGATTTTAATTTTAACAATCTCACCCATTAGTATCAAGTTTCCATATAATCAAAGAGGACAAAAAGCAATGTCACAAAAATAGGGAGAAATCTTTTGCATAAGTGATAAACATTTAGTGATAACACGTACCCCCATCCCTCCCAACCCAATAATCTTCAGCCAGAGTCTGATAGCATCTTATATTTCCTGTCCAAAAAAAAAAATCACTCCTTCCAACATTAATATACTCCCAAAGTTTATAATTGATATAGAATTGTAACAAATTCCAAATAAATCTCATTTTCCCTTTCACTCTGTAAACTAACTGCAGAACTGTAGTGTTATGGTTTTATGTATGGTTGTCTATTTATCTTTGACCATAACGCTACAGATCTCATGATGCTAAAATGTGCAATTTATGGCGCAAGATTTTTTGTGCATTGTTAGGGAAATTGTTTTCCAGTTTCCAGCATTGGTCAGTCATCTACCTTTCATTCCCTAGTTCTAGACACATTCTTTACCCAATGATCTGTATATTTTATTCACCTCCCAACCCTTTATAGTCTTCTCTACAAGCGATAAACCAGCTTGTTTTGAATTTCCTGCAATCCAACAGACATTTCAAATGTAACGGGAGAGGAGAAAATGCAGCGGACCAGACCGGGATTCGAACCCGGGCCCCCTGAAACTCCGGTCAAGTGCTCTACCAACTGAGCGATCTGGCCACCGGTGATCAAATCCAGCTGACCGCCACACAAGTAAAGCTAGTTTATCATCACCATTATAGACGATTATAATGGGTTGGGAGGCGGATAAAATACAAAGGTTGGTTAAAAAATGTGTCTAAAATTAGTGAGTGAAAGTAGTATGTTGGTTGATCAATGAAGGAAACTGGAGAAATTCTCTCCAAAAGTGCGCAAAAAATCTTATGTAAATTGCTCTCTTTTTTTGCATTACGGGAACTGTAGTGTTATGGTCATATATAAAATCATAATACTACAGTTTTGCAGTTATCTCTAAACAATAGTTCAAGTTTCATTATTACATTCATTATCATGATTATTACATGTAGAACATTTTTTTGGAGATTTTCAAAATACAATGAAGTGAATTAGTTCTTAAATGTTGAGATTGAAACAGCAGTCAAATGGATTGGAATATATGTAATGTACAGGCTGTATTCTAAAATACAATAGTCAATCAATTTAGCAGTCTTCATAAACAGAGAGAAAATGTGTTTGATCGATAATGTATTGTAATGTACCTATACTCCAATAAATGATAGATTCACAAATAATGTACATATTCATTACAATGTTTAACAGAAGTGAGAAGTCTTTTACTTTGTCTACTAACTTCATAATTTTCTATTTGAGATCTGTTAAACCCATGTTGCTCGCTTTGAATGGGTTACAGTTAGTTTAAAGAATTAAGATGAATACCTCTTTAATTATCATTTCTGAAGAAATAGGTGTGGCTTTTTGTAACGACTGATGTTCAGTAGGATAGAGCCTAATTTTCCATTCAAAAGAAGAATTTTACCACTTCAAATCAATGCACTTCATTGTAAATACCATGACAAAGTTGTTTGATATTAATTCCACTGGGCTGGTGTAGGTAATTATTAAGATGATAGACTGATGTGAAGCAGTGCATGCCTGTCCGGAAACCAGTCTGAATAATTTCTCCAAAGATGCAGTGTTACTAGCTGATATAAAGTATTTTTGATTGCCTCTGTAGAATGACAATTTTGTCTAACTTGAACACTAGCATATTCTGTTTGTGATCTAACCTAAACACTAGCATTCTGTTTGTGATCTTTATAGTCATGTTACTTTTATAACACATTTACCCAGGGAAAATGTGTGCATGATAGGCATGAGATAGAATTTAGCTTAGGCCAACAAGAAAAAATGATTTGAAAATGATTGATGTTCCATAGAAATTGATAAGATAAGGTAAGGTATACAATTTTTCTAGGATGAGTTCTGATTAAAAATTTAATAGCAATAAATATTAAATTTGTGTAGCTATCCTGCGTGTAGTGAAAACATAAATAAATTTGTGAGTCCTATAATTTTGATGTCACCTCTCAATTTGTTCAATACTGTATTACGCAAAGAAAAAATCAAACACCTACCTACCTACCCACCTTGAAAAATGTGGGTCGGAGTACATCAAACAAAAATAATTTTAATGATGGCCTTAGGTTTATTAATTGAGAGCAATTCTAGGCCCTTATTTATTGTGAATAGAAAATAAAAAATAAAGATAAACTTTTTTGGAGAATGTAAAAGCGTTTTCTTTATTTAAAATAGATATATATCAACTCATTTGAATGTAAATTGTTTCCAGTACATTAAATATAATGGAGAAATAACTCCAAATAAGAGTTCACACATCATATTTCCTTGAGAAGTACATGTATGTATGTTGCATAAATACAAAATATATACTACATACAAATTATGGTCGTGTAAAACCTCATCTAGTCAAATCATGATTTGCAATCCATGTGTAAAATAAATTTTCAAATGATGCATGTTTTTACCTTTAACATTACAAAATAACCAATTTACAGAGAAGCCAGTATTTTAGCTTCTAAAATGCTACGGTAAGTACTACTGTATTGCTAAGCATGATAATTGCATTGGATAACACCATATTACTACATGTAGTATGAACTAACAATGATAACTTATTCTAATGTGTTAGGGCTTGCTGTTAGCTTAAGCATACTTTCTAGATTCCTAATTCACTATAAGCCTTATAATAAGGAGTATACATAAAGTTATAGTATTGCCTAATTTCCATTCTCATGTAGAGGGTGTTGTAAACTCACAACTTGCATGACCAAAAATAAAAAAAAACTCAAATATCTGCATGCATTTTAGCTTCCTAGATTGATATTGTTTTGCCTGATATATTGTGGTTTATGCCTGATTAGTTGTCTATCACTCTTAATCTCTCACTACTCTCTAATGTACCGCCTTTTTCAATGTTTTCTTCAGCCTTTTACATTCAGTTCACTAATCTTAAGCACCTTTTGGATTTTAAAATATTTCTGAAGTGATGTCAAACCCCAGAAAAGCTGTAATTTAAATTTTATTTACAATTAGATTTGTAACAGGAGACAGTAAATATATGTTTATAAAACCCATGATCTCTACACCAGGCTAGTGTTATTTCTAAGGCCATGTAAAGTTAATATTTTGGTTCTCAGGCCTTTTTTCATGTGATGAGGGAGGGAGGCATTTTTTAAAAAACTTTTTTATTGCCCCAGAAACATGACAGAGCAGCTTTTTACACCGTACAAAACCTCAAAAAATGATCAGGGTGGTTATTTGTTGTTTTTATTTTATTGATTTAGCAATAAAAAGGGTCAATGATGCACCCTTGGAAGAGATGAGGGAGGGCCTGAGAACCAAGAAATATTTTTTTATAGCCTAATATGTCTAATTTTGATTTTCCATCATGCAACAGGTACTGGCTCCAGGACCACAAAGTGAGAAATGACTAAGTCAAAACGTGAGAAATGACTAAGTCAAAACTTTCATTTTGAATATCTTGAGTTTTTAATTTTTTTTTCATTCATGTTTTAAAAGATCAATAAATATATGATATTAAAATACATGTAAATTGTTAGCTCAACTGAACTGAAGGCTTAAGCACATTTTGTTCACTGTCCATCTGTAAACTTTTTACATTAATTTTTCAACTTCTCAAGAAGCAATTGGCCAATTTCAACCAAACTGGCCACAAAGTATCCTTGGGTGATTAAAGAACAGCAAAGTGATTACTGTTTTTATCTATTGGAGCATAACCTCAGGTTGTGTAGATTCAAGTTTGTTAACGAGGCTGGGGTATGGCAGCCATTTTAAGACTATTTTTATCTCCTTTAAAAGAAGAGCTCCATATAAAGATATAAAAAATGGTCAAATTTTAAAACTAAAATATATGAATTTTTTCTTTGCCAAATGATAGTTGACAGTTTAAGATACTGTATGTAAAAAAATAAGTTAAATCTGGTGGTTAATTTATGATTAAATTGTTGACCCCCCAGCCTCCTAAAAATCATGACCCCCAGGGGTAGGATGGCACCACAGTGAAAGTTCAAATGGATAGGAAAAGAGCTACAGTTAGCCAAAGAGATTTGTAAGCTAGTGTATATTCAATTATAGTTTGTTCAAATCACACCCCAATATCCTTTGAGGGGTAGGTATGGACCAAGTAAGCTTTACAATGCTGAAAAGATTTTTGCTTTTTCCTAGCCACAATGCTCAGGTGAACAATATGACCTATTGGTCTCATAAATTCTTTGTTGGAGATAAAAGTGCAAATAGTTAAATAAAAAAAAAAAATAATTCCATCGTAAAGCTACTGGTCTGTCGAGTGGTGTGGTTAAAAAGACCACATTCTGGGCGGGAAAGGTAGAGAGGAAGTAGGCTGGGCTTGTAGCATGTTAATTTACGGAATCAAGAGATGTAATTAAAGGAATAATTGCCAGACTTTTTGTTTCTTGATGATAATCAAGCAATTTGCTTGACTGATAATTATGCATAAATGTATTCATGTTTAAATTATACAAATTATCATGCAAGCCAGTCTCTTGATCAGGCCAAGATAAATAAATAGTATGTTTCTTATTCTCTTACCACTTCATGAAACTAATATAATACTCAGTTAAATATTCGGTAAAAAAAAATATTAAATTTTTTTCAGAAGTTTATATGCTTTATATTCTTCTTTTATGATCTTTTCACCCTTTCTGAGTTCTTATTTTATTATTATAAATATTATCAGAATTTTGTATTTGATGTGTTAATGAACATTTAGTAGAAATATCCAAAAATCCTTCAAGAAATCAAGACATGTTTGTCCTATCAATATGTAGATTTCATTCTACTTAAAATATTTCATGAATTTTTTTCTGCCATCATCTTAGTATAAAAATGAAGTTTTTTTCCCTTAAATTCTGATGCAACAAAACTGTTGGACATCATTTGGTAACGTGAAATGGAATACTATAAATTATACCCTCTTTATTATACACATGTTATCTCTTTTCCTGTTTCAGGTCATGCTTCAAGATGCAAGGTAAGATCATTGATGGGCCATTTTCAAAAAAAGTCCACTTTTTTGTCTTTTGATCAGAATAATAGGAAAACATTTTTTAGAGTGAAATTTTTTTTCCCGTTGGTTAATATACATGGTCATATAGCTTATAAGTAATTTTATGATCATCTCCCAGGTGTTTTATAAAAAATATTCTCTGCATTCCGAGTAAAATTTAACAGTAAAACCATGTCACATTAACAAAAATTTTATAACGCGCTTATTTAAATGATAGGGAAAATATTACCCTGTGAAGATATGTACAAATTTTGCACCTCATTTTAATTGAATTCATTTACAGATTAATTTAATATGATTGTTTTACTTATGCCGCCCACTAAATACTAGTATCGTGTATTTAACATTCAGGAAGTGACATGTCCCACCAGTTTATGTCATTCCTGTTATCAGAAAGAAAATGTTAAAATAAAAGTTATCTCATTTTCCCAGGAACTATTTTCATGATCCACAATATATCATCATTTTCTGTTGTCTCAAGTTTATGAGCGCCATGATTTGAAAGTGAGTAAAGAAAGGGTTCAAAGGTCGATAAGTTTGTCTTATTGGTAGAGTATAATGAAAATATGTCCTATCTGTTACCTTCATAATATGCAAATACTCTTTAAATTGTTTATTCTGCTAAAACAATCAGATTTACTAAGTTACAACGAAACTGTTTCAATGTCTTGATGATGCAAAAAGACTACGTTATACTAAATAACCGGTGATTTATATGAGAAATGTCCATCCTGTTACTGTCATTCCTGTTACCATTAATATGGTAACAGTAAGGAAAACTGGACTTCATATCTTGAGTTTTAACAATAAAAACAATTACTTTTATTTTTCTAAGTAATATAAGTTTAATAACACATGTTAAAAAACTTCGTAAATCATATTGAAATAAGTTAGTGCTTCAAATTGTGCCATTATAACTTAAACATGCACTCTTGTAACAGAATGGACAAAAATTGTAACAGGAGGGACAAATTATCCTGGTATTTATATACCTATTTAAGTTTCATCATTTGTTTTTCTTAAAATTATGAAAAATTCTTAGTTTTGCAACAGCATAGAGTACCTTTAATAAACAAAAATTGAACTGATAAATATTTTAATAGCACTTTAGAATTAAATTTCGTAACAGGATGGACATAAATGTCTTTTATTGTCTCAAATTTGCCAGATTTGACAAAATCATTTTTTTTATTCTACATTTATTTCTCTTTTCCTAACCAATAAAGTTAAAAAAAGTCAATTTTTATTTAAAATGTAGATTTCATTGTCCATCCTGTTACACTGTTTTGTCCATCCTGTTACTGTTTTGTCCTTCCTGTTAACCGTGTCCTTACTGTTACCAGTATATTTTCCTAGTTTAAATTGCTTTGGCAGAGCACCTGTTTAAATAACTTTCTGTAACTGTTTATTCTAATCACAAAAATAATGTACAAGAATGTTTTTTTTCAACTATAGCATATAAACATTCCGCAATAAGGCTTTTCATGAAGAAAAACCCGTAGATTTTGCTTCTGTTTGGTATATGGTAGTTTGACATGCTTTTAAACGCTCATATATTAGATGAATGTCAAACATCTTGGCATTCAATGATAATTTTTTCATTTATGAACGGTATACAAAAGATAATTTGATGAAAATTTTGAAATAGAGTTTTACAGCTCTTTTTTATGAAAGTAACAGGAAGGACATTAAAGTTTAAATGAGTAAGATAAAATGTCAATATTTTTTAAAAGAAATATTTTCTTTTATGCAATGCAGTGGATTTTAGTAGTTTATTACTATATTATTCAAGTAAAGTTGAAAAAATCATAGTAAAACCACTTTCATTTTTCAAAATATGTCATTCAAAAAATAGACTTTTTTTGAAAATGACCCTGATATCATCAAGTAAGTCTTTACAACTGCCTAATAGAGATACTTAGTAAGCAATGACAAACTGTCAACTAACAAACAATGACAAAGAAAACAAGATATCTTCTTTTCTGCTCTTTCAATTAAAGATGATCTCCAATACATGTATATGGAGAAATTACGAAACGTGGCAGATAAATTAGTTGCCAATTAGAGCCCTGCGATGGAAGAGCCAAGTCATGATTTGTCATATTTATTTTTAGAAAAAGCATCCATAAGTGAATTAGATTCAAATCTGTTCAAATCATAACACCCACTTATAGTGTAGGGCTACAATGGATGATCAATTTTTAAATAGGAAATATATACTTAGGAAAAAGAATCTGCTGATGAATAAGAAAGGCCACAATTACTCAGGTGGGCATTGTGACCCAGGAGCCTCTTGTTTCTTCTCCACTGGCATATTAATTAGGTCTTCTACTCTTTTCTTTTTCTTAAAGTAAAGGACACTAATCCCTGAATAAGCTCATATTTATAGAAAACTCTTGAATATTAAAATAGATAAACATTTATGTAAAGAACTTGGATAAGTAATGATAAACCTTATAAGCAGAAATTTTATCTTTCTATTTGTCACAAATTCACTAAAATTAATTCTTGCTAACTTAAAGATTAAATATTGACTTTTTAGAATAATGATCAAAGTCCCATTTATTTGTATATTTCAGATTTACTAAGAAGATCCACAGCATGTCTTTATATTTTATTTTCATTTTTCAGATTTTCTAAGAAGATGTGCAGCATGTCTTTGTGTTGTGTTTGTCCTTGGAGCTGCATTTGTTATGATGGAATTTAACTTCTCCAAGTCTTCAATCATTTTAAATAATAGACCAAAGACAGAAAAGGCCAAAGATATTTACCAGATGAAATTTTTGTCTGCACGTAATAAATCCAGTCAATTAACGAGGCCTCCCAGCCGACCAATCACCACTAGGCCTGCCCCCACACACTACGTTACTGTCAATTTTGAAGGACGGCTCGGGAATCAAATATTTGAATTTGCCTCCATGTTTGGGATTGCTAAGCATAATAATCTCATACCTGTTATTCCTCCCAATTCCCTGCTTCGTAGAATTTTCAAAATTACTCTCGGCAATACAAGGCCTGAAATCCAAATGAACAGAAGGTATAACGAGAAGAAGGGCTGTACCTTTGAGCCAGGCCTGATGTCGCTGGGTGGGTCACAGAACGTATGGATAAAAGGCTACCTTCAGAGCTGGAAATACTTTCAACATGCAGAGAAGGAACTCCGAAAACAATATACATTTCAAGACCACATAGCATTAAAAGCCAAATCCACATTCCAGTCTGTAATATCAGAGAAGAAAATCAGCCCCGACATTGTCTTCGTGGCTGTTCATGTTCGCAGAGGGGACATGAAAAATAATAAAAACTTTGTGAACTACGGATACACAACGGCTGGTGTTGATTACCTCGAGAGAGCCATGAACAAATTCCGTAAAGACTTCAACAACAAGGTTCTCTTTGTCGTGGGGTCTGATGACCTGAAGTGGTGTAGAGAGAACCTGAAGAAGGAGGATACTGTATTCATTCCTCCGGGTAATTCTCCTGAAATGGACGTGGCGATACTCTCCAACTGTAACCATGCTGTGATGACCGTTGGGAGTTACGGCTGGTGGACTGCTTGGCTAATCAAAGGTAGAACTATCTACTATAAAGGCTACCCTACACCCAACTCCAGTCTGGCCGCTTTATTTAAGAAAGAGGACTACTATTTGCCTGACTGGATCCCTATGTGACAAGTTCCTTCTACAAGCTTACAAGCATCAATCTACGCAAGCCATAATGTGATTAGCTGTGTTAAACTGAATTAATTTCCTGATGAAAAAAGCAACAGCCAAGAACTATCAAAAATGGCCCTGTGTCCAAATGTAACCCAGTTACAAACATGTTCTATTCATTGTGTATCATATTTACACAATCTATAATATATTTTCACAATCCACAACATATTGTATACAATCTACAACATATTCTACACAACCATATGTATTCTACACAATTTACATGTATATAGCTTTACATAATCAGAAATGCAGAGGTTTAAAGCATTTCACATAGTGTATTTATAAAAACTTTTTTATTGGTTCAGTTAAATATTTGTGGAATAGTTTATTATGAACTCCAGGCTCTAAAGTGATATTATTTTCTTGACAGAATGCCTTTAAAATGCTTGCTTAAAGTACACTGCACATAAGCCTACCATAATTTGTTTTGACCACCCCCAATCATTTGAGATATGAATGCATTATACATGAAAAGCATTCAGCCATACAGTCATGCAAATACAAATTCAATTATATTTCATAACTTCTTAAAAATTGAGTGTACTGTTGTGAATAATACTAACTGGAGTAAAAGATGAAGAAAGAGAAGTAGGCAGATTTTTGGGTGCACATTTTGTTTTTTTAAAATATTTTTTGCAATTTTTATCGCATGTGAATAAAAAGTTTTTTTTGGTTGCTCCAAGCCATTTTTAGCTCATCTCAATTAAGTCTGTTTATACCATTCATGTGCCAGCTTAAATGTTTTGGAGCAGATTTCTTTTTAAGTATTTCTGTGGCCTGTTTTGAACAGAGATGTATGGACATGTTTCCTTGCACTAGTCAGGTTTTGGTAACTTCATTTTCAGCCAAATTACCTTCAGATTAAAGTAAGAAAGTCCCCATCTCCAAGAAACTATTACATTTATATTGACCAAACTTTCTAGGATGCCCATTACAAGACTTGTTTTGGACGCCGAAAGTTGCCTATATTCCTGGATGAGTGAACAGGTTAAAGTTTTCATAGCAGCTTCATTAAGTACCGTAACCAAAAGCACCTGGCCAAAGTTACATGGATGGTGCATCAAAGGATGTACACTACCATGTTTGATTAAGAGGCTGGATCTGACCTACATTTTCCAGATGAGTAATAATGCTGAAAGGTTTGGAGCAGGCTCATTCTGGTGCCACTTCTATCCCTATCCGGACCAAACTTTCATGGAACTTTTATTTGGATGCCCAGTATAGGTTCTTTGGATAATTTTGATATTGCCTTTCCAGATGAGTGAAAATGTTGAATCTTTTTGGAACAAGCTCTTTAAGTCCTATCTGCAACAAACTTTTATGGATTCACAATTTAGGGATGCACACTATCAGATTTTCTTTGGCTGCTGAATTTGACCTACATTTTCTGGGTGAGTGACCAAGTTAATCATTTTGGAGAGGTTCATCCAATCATGGACTTTTTTTAGGCCCATCATGGACTTATTTTTAGGCCCATCATAAAGTAAATTGGCATTACTGATACAACTAAGAGGTACACAACCTGACTTACTTTGGATGCTAGATTGAATGTACCCTTTCCAGCTGAGTGGCCAGGCCCCAAGTCCAAAAATGAAAACAGACTTGCATCAAAATTTTCATTTTTCATATTTTTAGTTTTAATCTGTGTATTTACTTAAAACATTGCATTTTATAGCATTTAAATCAATCTCATGTTGAAATTTTGTATCTTTATCAAAATTATTTCAAAGGTTATTTTGGTTTGGCTTTTTCTCAGTGTGTGGTCTTGGGACCAGGTTTAAGTTTGTATTTTGAAGAGATCTGTTCCAAGTTACTGTGAGGCTCACCTGGATGAAACACCTGGCTGATTCACTAATAGACCTGCTTTGTATTCTAGGTCTGCATATTCTTGATGAGTGACTAATTTAATATTTTTAACACTGCAAGTAACTGCAAGCTCTTCAAGGACAAGAATTGTATAAATGTTACTCCTAAGGATTATTAGTTTAGTGTGGATCTTTGCCTTACTTAGACACCATTCATTGAAGTGAGCTAACAATCTTTGATAACCCAGGTTCTTGTTTTTTGGTGTGTTATGTCCCTATAATTTTGAAACTGTGCTTATGGATAAGAGTAAGAAAATCTTAATTGAAATGAAATTCATTAATTTTCATTTTACAGATTTGGGCTTTAAAGGAAACAAATTGTTAAAAAAAATGCCTATTAGGTCGTTTCATTATTACACAAAATCTTTTTTTTTCATCTAAATTAAATTGCATTCAGATAATTGTTTTGCACATGATGGTCAGATTTCAATGTTTTAGTACTAATATATGAACAAGAGAAATCCTTTATAGATAATTAAGTGATATGCATTTATATTCATTTGAAATCCAGATATTTTTATGCTCCCATAATCGAAGATTCAGGGGTATATACAGGTAGTTTTTGCCCTGTCCATCTGTCTGTCTATTTGGCTGCAAAAACTTTAACCTTGGCCACAGTGAAGCTATAATGGCTTTCATATTTCACAGGTTTATTCCTTGTGACAAGACCTTTCTTCGGGTGCCACACTATTCGACCTCTTTACTTTGACCCACTTTTATAAAAAGAATTTCAGAACTTTAACCTTGACCTTAGTGCTAGTGCTTTCATACTTTACATGTGTATTTACCTTTCAATGGATATTAATATTTTTGACCTTGATCTTAGAGTTTGACCTACTTTTAATAAACTTTAACCTTGACCAAAACTTTTAAACAATCAGTACTAGGGTTTTTGTATTCCACAGGTATATTAATTCCTAATGACATTTAGACCTTCCTTTGGATACCAATAATTTTGATCTTAGAGACTTGCATCTGAGAAACTTGAACGGTTGCCATAAGCTGTCATACAGGGGCATCAGTGTTTCACAATCACATCTTGTTATTGTGTGTTATGTATGATTTTGTAAACATTAGACAGTCAACATTTAAGAAATGTCCCAAATGAAATCATTAAATTAAGAAAAATTGTAACACTAAACTATTAAATCAAAATGTCTGCTACTCCTGCCATTTTATCCTGGCCCAAAGATCAGGTTTTGATGTAAATTGTTAACAAAGATAAGTAGATAGCATACTTGACAACTTAAGGTACTCCAGACCATGAGCAAGGAAAATTTCAGGAGTTACAGCCCTTGTTGATTTTATAGTGTCGGGGGACAGTATTTTTTCTCTCTTGCCTTTGATGAAGATTGATGAATTTGTTATTGTTCTAGGTGACTGTACTTGAATGACTGAGCTAATGTCTCAATATGCTGCAAGGTTTGTCAGAAGAAACTTAGGATATTTATTTACTTATGGTGTTGCTTTATTCCTATTGTCAAACACAAATAATCTGAAAAATTTACATGGTTTCCATTAAACATATTTAAGGCAAACATACACTTGAAAACTTTTTTTTTGCAAAATGCAAAATATAAAAAAAAATCCACAATAATTTTGTTACATAATATCATAATACCAAAAGTTGATATTACAGTAATATACTGATATGTACTGCACTAAGTTATAGGTTTTTTTTGGTCAAACTATACATGAATATATGAAAATCACATGATGTATCTTAGATCAGGTGAAAATTTGATCAACTGTTCAGTAGTGTATTCCATGTGGATTCTGATTTTTTTAAATTAGGTTCTACCTGGTAATTTTTTTTGTATGTTAAACACAATAAATGCCATATATCAATCAGGTTGATGACAAGATTTTATTTTGGATTTCATAAAGTACAAGGTGCATAATATTAGCAGATCTACAAGATTTTGTTTTCATTGTTGAAAAAAAATACACCAAAGATTTTTTCACTTTAATTCCTTTAGAGAATGTATATACAATGTACTATAATATCTTGATGATATGTACATTAAAATTGTCATGTTTCTTGTTTATATTATAGATGAATGTAATTTTAGTCATTTGTATTGTCTGCCAGGAGCATTTATTTATTACATTCCGTGGTAAAAAAAAAAAAAAAAGTTCTGTGTTTCTTTTCCTCGAGTTCAGTGGACGAGTCAGAGTTATCTCTCTTTGTACCGTTAGAGCTGAGCAAACTGTTTTGCCGTTTCCTCCATGTCTGGTAACGGTTTACTGGCAGTGGATGACTAAAAGTGGAAAACGGAAATAAAAAATTAAAAGTAATGCTATTGAGCAATGAGACTGAAATGTTTATTTCCACATCTAGATCCCCAGACTATTAAGTCTTCAGTTTACCTGTTTCTTTGGCGCTTGTTTCACAGGTTTTGTGGTCTCAGTGATGGCTCTTTGCACAGAGTTGAAGACTTTGTTGGATTCTTCAGTTTTCTGTTTATTTTTGAAATTCAGCTAAAAAAACAATTTTGAATCAGTGACATTTTAGATCCCTTACTTGTTAAACAAGAGATCCATGGGACATAACACTCGCCTGACTCGCTTTGATCCTGCAGTCCTTCAGCAGCTGATTTCATTTAAATTTCCCTTTTTAATAACTTTAAAAAAATTACTCTATATATTCTGGAACTCAGATCTAACCTTTTGGTCCATATATGGAGTTAAAATATTTATAATAACGAGGGAAATTTAAATATGCTTGGGCAAAGTGACTCCGATGAGCGATGTGGCCAATGGAACTCTCGGGGAAAAAAGTATTATAATTGTTCACTAATTCTTAATTTTCTCCCCCTTAAAAGAGGAGGCACAATTTTGATCAAAAACCTTTGGCACAGATGAGTTTAAAAGACAGAAAATATTTTACGAACCTTTTTAAGATTGGTGTTGACGGATTTGATCTTGGGTTTCCGGACACCGGCTACTTTGAACACGGCGGAATCTCTCTTTCCGGTTCCGCTTCCTTTCTGTTTACTTTTGCCCATGGATGACGTCACGTCTCAGATTCCAACTGTCTAAATACACATATTAAAATAATGTTAGAGGATTTGTATTTGATTCATTTACAAACATTTATTCATTTATCATGAATGTTGAAATTGGGCTTGATTTTTAGCATACAATAAATTCAAAAAGTTATAACCCAAAATGTATAAAACACTCTCAAAATGGACTGAATTCCATATAGTGCGTGTGGTGTGTGAGGGTGTGTTAGTGTGTCTATTTTTTGTCCTTTTGTATGTACGAAAATTTTCAAAAAAAAAGCATTAAAAACAAGAGGCCCAAGGGCCACAGCGCTCACCTGAGCATATTCAGCTAGGAGAAAGCACATATCAGATCAGAACTTAAAGTTTACTGAGGTTGGGGGGGGGGGGAGGGGGACTTGAATTTTAACACCCCAGAGGATCATGATTTGAACAAACTAGAATCTACACTACCTGAGGATGATTCCATATAAATATTACTAATCATGGCTTTGAAGTACTTGAAAAGAAGATTTTAAAAGGTTTCCCTATATATTCCTATGTAAAACTTTGGTCGGCCATTGTGGCCCCACCCTACCCCCAGGGGTCATGATTTGAATAAACTTAAATCTACACTACCTGAGGATAATTTCACATGAGTTTCATCTTTCCTGTCTCAATGGTTCTTGAGAAGAGGATTTTTTATAGATTTTTTCCTATATACTCCTATGTAAAAATTTGGTCGGCCATTGTGGCCCCACCCTACCCCCGGGGGTCATGATTTGAACAAACTTGAATCTACACTATCTGAGGATGCTTCCACATGAGTGTCATCTTTCCTGGCCCAGTGGTTATTGAGAAGAAGATTTTTAAAGATTTTCCCTATATACTCCTATGTAAAACTTTGGTCGGCCATTGTGGCCCCACCCTACCCCCGGGGGTCATGATTTGAACAAATTTGAATATACACTATCTAAGGATGCTTCCACATGAGTTTCATCTTTCCTGGCCCAGTGGTTCTTGAGAAGAAGATTTAATTTTTCACTAATTCATTATTATCTCCCCTTGGAAGAGGGCGTGGCCCTTCATTTGAACAAACTTGAATCCCCTTTACCTAAGGACACTTTGTGGCAAGTTTGGTTGAAATTGGCCCAGTGGTTCTTGAGAAGAAGATGAAAATGTGAAAAGTTTACGACGACGACGACGACACCAACGACGACAGCCGACGGACAAATTTTGATCAGAAAAGCTCACTTGAGCCTTCAGGTGAGCCAAAAAAAGAATTCAATATTTGCGTTAAAATTTTCATTTTCGCACAGTGCACGGACAATTTATATTAGCTGCGCGCTGGTTTCTGGTTGTCCATTTTTATTTACCAGTAAGATGACGACCCCACAGCTAGATCTACGTATGATGAGGTCAAAGTCAACGAACAGTTGAGGCTGTTGAGCATACCAAATTTTCATGGCATCTCTCCAGTATCAAAGTTTTAAAATATTATCATTTTTGTGTACCTTTAGGTATAAATTAGTTAGCGGTATTGTTGGTTTTACCACTAGGTGCTATACACTCCAAAATGTAACATACATGCACATGCTTAACCCAAATTGCAATTGTAACAATTTGTTGGATTCAGACTTGAAAAATTAAATTACTGCATTTTTATCAATTTATTTTAGTCTTTTAGAATGCTTTATAATGGCTCTGTTGTCTCCAGGTTGTATATTAATAGTACACCTCTCGATTTGTGATTTGAATTAAATCTATCCCCTATACAACACGTATCTTCAGTCTACTTCATTTGATTGAATTGAGGTACCTTATGCCTGGCACATATGCAATTGAAATTCTATTGCAGAAAAAAATCCAACTCGAGTAAGTAACTCTTTCAAAAATCCTTTTAAAATTATCCTTAACATTTCTTTCGGTCGACATGACCTTTAAAAGATCCAGAAGTATACTTGAGCAAAATACCTCAGAAAGAAACAATTACGAAAAATATCTATATCGAAGAAAGCCGTATCTGTAATTTCAGCTCCTATATGCAGACCCACATTAAATAGGGTGGAGTAATGGAAACATAGAGTTGCGCTTTGTCGGATACCTGACCAGGTATTTTTGTAATTACCTGCAGATAACCTTACAACATTCACGCTTTTCTCACCGCTGATACTGATATAATGCACAATCGCCGGCCTATACAAATAACGTCTTTCTCTCCTTTTCGACAAAAACCACACCTTTCTTGAAATTACGATCTTTACAAGATATAAAGAGGGAAAAAGCTCCAATTTAATATTTTTGTTCAGTGCTCATTTCTAATATTTTGAAAATACAATTGGCATAATACAGTTGGATTTCTGATAAAACATATTTTTATGTTTATACATTTTTAATAACAATCATTATTTGGTATATCACAAATGATATAAAAATCCAGGACCGTGTCGTCAGTTCTTTTGACAAGAATGTCGTATACATTGTATAAAAATTATGTATAAATAATTGGTGCACTTCGTATCAGTCTCTAAGCAAATTGAATGTAAAGTATTTTTACTTCTTTAAATTTAAGTCAATTGAAAAGTTAGAACTGGGTCAAAATAACCTAAGTAATGGATGCATTATCGACTCACTTAGGTACTTCTCTTGCGAGTCGTACGGTGTCTTACCAACACACCGCTCTGCTCGATTGAGGGGGTACATTGTATCCCCTCAAACATTGCGTGTACCCTTCTCCAGACTTTATGCTCTTTTTTAACCAAGTTAATGAACTGAAAAAGGTTGTCTTTTGTGTATTATGCACAGTAAATTCACATAAATGTGAGATCGCATGGTCTGCGCAATTTGGCATGCAATACTGTACAAATATAAGGTTATCATACTTAGAGAACATTTAGAGATTACCATGATTATCACCTTCTATTCTATCGATTAAAAGAGTTTTTTTCATTGAAAAAAATGAACATGGATAACACTGGATTAAGAAAAAAAATGCAGTATGTTGCAAGTGTTTAGACTACAAATAACAGGTGCTGTTTGATACAGTCTGCCGTCAGAAAAAAACTTGTTTTCTATGTCTGTAATGACTCTTCTTTAGCACCAGTATTATATACAATGTACATCTTCAAGGAGACCATACTACTGGCAAAAACACATTAGACAAACTTTAAATGCCCCAGTTAATTTTTGTTCCCAGTCAACTGTTGAACTGCTCAATGGTTTGTTAAATCTTTCTTCTGTGGTATGTAGCTCTTTTGTGAATGGTTTGGTCCACAGTTCCGTAAAGACCACGTGACCAATATGCATATTATCATATCTCACATGTAACAAGCGTGAAATCTTACAAACACTGCACAGCTTCTTCGCATTATGTTGGAAAATAGTTAATTACTTCAATGGATAATTAAGAAACAATGGTGTGACTTCCTTCTCTGTCTAAATTGGGGATTTTACTGTGTTTTGGGATTAAAACGTTTTAGTAATACTTTTTCTTTCTACTTGGAATATGCGCTAAAATGAGATTGCTAGTCTTCCTTAGTTTGGCTGTTTTTTGTACAGGTAAGTATATTACACACAGTGTCAAAAAAAATGAATAATGATAGAAAATTCAAAGTCATGAATTATGGAGCCATTGTTTAAGTTAATATGACATTTATACTTCTGCTGAATATGAAACGGAAAATCGGTATATATAAAAACCAATTTAATTTTAATCGATTATTTTCACTATTAAAGTAGCAATTTTCTAAATGTCTCTTCTTCGTTACGCGTAATAAATTAAGCAAATGAAGCCAACATGTATCTGTGCATGTAGCTGTGTTAATTCCCTGAATTTGACAAGATTTATGTTGAAAATTTGTTAAATGTGAGCAAGGAAACTTTATTAGTAGACAAGCCCAAGGCCTATCGCAAGTAAATTGTTTGAAAAAACTTGAAAAGAAAGAAAAAATAAACATTTTACTTGACAAGAAATCCTTTGACTCCATAAAAAAAGACCATCAAATCGTAGACGCCATGGTATGCGGGTAAAAAGATCAAGTATTGAGGAAGACGCCTTTCTAAAACAGAAGGCATTTATACGTGTAAATGTTTTAATGAGTCGAAATGTCAAATGTCAAAGTTAAGAAGGTTTCTGCAGTTTACATTTAAATGACATTTTCCTAATTTCAATTCAATTTCTCAAACACGCAAATCAAGATTCTGATATTAAAATGTTTTATTCGATTTATAGTTTGTTTAGTACATGTTTAGTTAAATTATAGAATTTTACAAATTGAAACCTTGGTTCTGCAGCACATCTCCTTTCCCCAAGTTTGCAACAAACTCGGAAAACACGAGAAAATTTACACAGCGGTAATCAAAGAATAATGGGTTCTAGATGTACAGCACTAATTGTAGGAATGCAAGGCATAAAATTCTTTATTCGTGCTTCTCTTTCCTCATTAGCACGGAAAACAGCTTATTTTTAAAACATCACCGGTATTCTTAGATTAACATGCTATCTTGAATTGTGCTTCAGAACGCTAAAACAGGTTACAGAGAGCAAAAATAAGCTAAAACACCTGGAAAATGTACTCAAAAATTAAAATCAAAACAGAGGTGTTAAACAGTACCACCCATAGTATTCCAAAAATACCAACAATATTAGGTTTCTCTGTTTTTGATTATCTAAGGAAAGAAAGAGTTAACTTAAAGGCTTTTGTAGAAATATAAATCAATTAACAAGTCATAATTCGAAAAAAAGGAATTTAGTTTTATGACAAAAATACCAACAATAAACTTAGGTATATTTAATTAAGTTCTTTAACTGTTTTTGATTATGACGCCATATGTACGGAAAGAAAGAGTTAACTATTATTTTGAAGTAAATGTCACCGAGCGCATGAAGGCTTTTGATATAATGAAATATAAATCAATTAACAAGTCATAAAAGGATATAAAATCGAAAAAAGGAATTGCTTTGACACTATAATATTTTCTGTTTTTATATTTCTCATACAAATTGAATTCTTAAGAAAAATTTGTAAATATATGAAAAATGTAAATGAAAAATGTAACCTCGAGATATTTTGTGTTAGGCATCAACTTATGCGTGCAGGTACGTTTGTCTTGTTACGAAAAATGGTAATCATATTTTTTCATATAAAAAAGCATAAAAAAATAGGTTGGTACTAATGTGGACTAAATATTTGTTTTCATGGCCCATATTTACATGAATTAAATTCCACTCCTAAAACAATGGTCTCATTTTATGAATGACCCGCTCTGGTGCAGTCATTTTGTTCTCTTGTACGCTTCCCTGACTAACAGACATAATGCACACGGAAATAAAGGTGGCAGTTTATTCGAATTCGTTACATGGCCCGATACCCGGATTGACCGTGTACCTGCATACAATTTATCAGATTTTTTCGGTTAGAATTGCTGATATAGAACTTCGTGTGATACCTCCACATGGGCAATACGGCATACCAAATGACAGGATAACATCAAACTGGATTGTCAAACCCAAGCCAGATAACATCAATGTGTCAATTTAATGTCGGTTTTCTAAGCCCAGACGCCAATAAAACTTTAATTTTAAATGCGATATTAAACCTTTATCAAAGATTGACGTTTCAGTTTTCTGTGCATATCGAAGGCAATGTCTTAGGTTGAAGCAACGCTCACGCAAGAAAAGTTCGATTTGTCCAAACCATAAAACCAGGGGTACCCCATCGGAGGGCTGAGCTAGAGATAACTGTCCTTGTATACATAAAATAAGTAAAGGACTGCTATCTTATCGAAAATAGGATTTCACTTTGCAGTACGTTAGTTGTTATAACCTCTGAATTCGGAATTAAAATTTAAGGCACTTATTTCCCCGTGAGATAAACTCCTGTTTGAAATGCTATATTTTTGAACGACAAAATCTGATACTGACACTGCGTCTCAGAAATAACTCTCCCTATAAACTTCAGCATACCCAGCTTAACAAATTAATTGTCTTAGACAGCTAACTCCGTCACGTTGCTATTTTTTCTCTTCAAACAAAACATCTTAAAGCAATATGAGCTGCAACTTTGATTTAGGAATTTTTTTGTTGTTGCAAAATTGTTTATAACTATTTCAATGACAGAAAAAAAGAACATTAATAAACTTCTGTTGTTTATATTTGCGATTAAAGAACTATTTATAAGCTTCCATTGAATCAGAATTTACATTATTGTCGTCCTGTACTCGTCCTTTATTATGATCTCTTATGTAAAACTGTATGTTGGGTTGAATATAGAAGTCTTTCGTCTGCTTTATTTTAGTCTAATTGATCATAAAGGTTTAAGTTACATACAAATTTATCACAATAACATATTTGAACAGCAAAATATTTTTTTTCGTATTCCTAACAGTTAGAGAGTACAGTATAAGCGAGTCATTATACATATATCACATGGCTTCGAGGGTGACATACCAGAATATTTGCCCCTCGGTGACAGGAAAGCCCTGGAGTGTTATGTCACCCTCTGCCGAATCGAAAATGCAACTCATATTGCTTTAAGTATTTGATCATTTTCCGAACGAAAATTCTTATAACTTTTACCTTTTTAAATGACCTTGTGTTAGGACAAACCTGAAACTTCTGTGAAACGAGTGACTCTCTGAAAACCCTGCATATTTGATTACTGACAACCCTGTATATAGAGAGGAGCTTACTTGGGTAAATTTCCGAGATAATGATGAGAGAGTTCTTATATGTCATTCTGTGATCATGATCCTTCCAAAAAGATTTAGCTACTGTGTCAAGTTTCCGTATTCTAAATTCTATTAAGCTCTTAGGACTGTTTGGGCTGAAACTGTAGGAGTAAAATGTTATTCTTTACCAAATGAAATCTGGATAGGACCATGTAGTTCACTATCGCATCATTGAGGTTTGGATCGATATAATTCGATTATATAAATAATGATGACGCGATGAAATAAAGTAATAGCGTGATGACAGATGTGATGGCACAACAAAACGATGAGGGCGAACAAATGACACAGTAAAACGATAGCACGATAACTCGATGGTATGACATCGATGAGGCTAGATGACCACGACATATGGATGGTACGGTGAGGAGAGAGCGATACTCACTATCGCTTCATCTCCTTCGCGCCATCGTCCTCGCACCATCGACCAAACAGTGCGATGGTGAACCTCGTGGTTCATAATGTTCTAAAGCTTTAATCTTGGGTAAGAACAAATAGAAGTTCAAGCGGAGCAAAGATACCCGCAACCTAACTTAGCAAAATAATTCTGATGTAGAGTTTCGCCATTATTAAATGTAGAAAAGTAATCCAAAGCACACAATCTATAAAAATATGACATTAAATAGCTATTTACGACAAGGGTGATGAACAAATTTCAAAATAAGTCGGTAAATTACTAACTGTACAGGCTCTCAGGTGTATAACTTGCTTAAAGGGAGGAAACATTTCTGTTGTCGCATCATTAACCATCAGAGGCCAAAATCCACAGGACAGAGACACAACTAATGAAATTCTTTCATAGGAATATTTTAAAGGCCATAAAAACGACCATGTTTTATCATTATTTGTCAAAACTGTGACAAAATATATATAATTAAAGTTTTAATATGAACACACCACTTGCAATTTTAAAATCCATTAGTAACTTTCTTCCAATAAAGACAAACCACCCAGAAAAAATAACCCGACTTAAAAAACCAGCTTAAGTTAACAAAATAACTCTCCGTCAAGGTTAGACCTGAAAAAACGAAATTTTATCAAAGGTTCCGCAAAACTAACATTTACCTACGTACAAGAAAACAAAAGCAGAGTAGCTAAACAATTTTAATCCTTAAGATGTGTTTTTTCTATAGAGGTTTGTAGACTTATGCTAAGAGCAAACACAGAGATGTATCATTTCAACAATCCCTTAATATAACATCGGGTACTAGAAGTAATTCCGTCTTTAGGCAGAGATTTCCCTCGTGTTTTTATACAGAAACTCCCACGATACACGAGTTTTAGGATAACATACACGCTGTTTTTGAAAAGTCATGAAAATATTGGTTTATAAACGGCGTAGAATAAGTTCTCCTCGGGGTAGGTTACACAACATGCAGTCCCGCCGGCCACAACTATGTTTCAATAAATATAATTTTTTTAACCATACGTGCGGAAAACAATTTGGTGCTAGTTAACGGTTCAATATCCTTTAAGAAATTTCTGTACTTTTACCCCTATACAACAAAAAGAAGATGCGATGTTATCGGCGAAAACAATTAACCCTTACAAAGTAAACCACGGCGGCGAAGTCCAAAAATATGTCCCCCTACGATCTTATTTCAAGTCAGGGAGTTTATAATGAGAAATGGCAAAAAATATAACTATATACGTTTGAGATAAGATTGTTGCATAAGAAATGTAAATGGTTTTAAAAATACACCAGGTTTTGTCTCCTGAGTTTCGCGTTACTACAGATCTTTACTTAATGCATTTCTTCTGTCAAATTCCACACCACCAATAACAATGGCCGCCAGCCAGGGGTAGAGGAGGTGTATTTAGACCCGGTGAAATATCTGACATGTTTCTCTTGCATTAAGTGTCGGGTTCGTCCTCTTGAATCAAGTGTCGGGTTCGTCTTGTTAGTGATAGACGTTTAAAACAGTCAGTCTGCACTATAGGACAACTGAAAGTCAATGCTTCATATCAAGTACAATCGCCAGGGAGGTCGGCAACTGTATCATTTCTGTCGGCAGGGAATTAGAAACATAACGCCGTATCATTAAGTGGCCGCTTTGTCACTTTATTTGACCGTAAATTGGAGATATTTTAGAAGCAAAATTTATAAAGCTTAAACTTCGATGAGATCGTAGACCGAGCTGCTAGCAGTGCAAAAAGTTTTAGCACTATATATTCAAGAAATAGCTACATAAATAAATAAAACAAACACACAAACCAAAAAACAAAACAAAACAAAAATATATCATCAAATATCCCTAAAACAGCAGTTATATTAGTACAAAGTTTGTAATTACTATTTGAAAGTAATGACATATATTTAGAGATGACGAACAGTATTCAAGATCAAAAGTCCATTAAACAATACAAAATAGGAGCAGAAAACGTCAGAGGTGTGCAGGTGCCATGGGGGAAAGAGCATACCCTGCCGACCGGTCACAACCGCCGTATGCTCGGGATCGGGAAATAACAGAAAAATCCGTCGTCAATTCAGCGTGTAAATAATGGCCTAACAATAATGGCCTAACATTTAGTATGAAAAACGTCAGTTAGTATTTGATTCAATGATAAATTGTATTTGCTGACAAGCTCATTGTATCGACCATAGAACTTACGAACTGATGACTTTAAACGAGACTGCTGATATTCTTGTTTCATCAACTTGTTTGTCAATAATTTACTTCGTTTTAGAAATTGTCCCTCTATGTAATGTAAAATTACAGAGGCATTTTCGAGACTACATTGTTCTTTTCCTTTTTTCAGCCGGGACTCTCCCCAGTGCGGATTTTGACAGATCGTTTGTGAAGTACATGTCAGACAATGGCTACAAAGGGGGACAGGTGGGGGTAATGATTCAGGACAGATTAGCGTTTGCTAAAGGTTACGGTAAAAACCACGAGCATCAGGATATCTACGTCCACAACCTGATTCCGGTCGGTTCCTTCTCCAAGGCGTTCACGGCAGTGACGATCCTGAAGCTGGTGGAAGACGGACAACTTGACATTAACGCTAAAGTGTTCGGAAAAGACGGGCTGCTTCACGTGATCAAACCCTGGAACAAGGCGACGGTGGATCGGCGGATCTACGACATTACCGTGGACCACTTACTCCGACACACCGGGGGATGGGATTACACCAAGTCCAAACTGATGGAACCGCTTCTGAATTCCGCTCTTATAGCAAACGGCTACAACGTAGAAAACATCTCTGCAGAAATGAACGTTCCAGAGCTCAAAACCCCCATCGATGTCATTCGGTTTATGATGTCCAAACCCCTTGATTTTACCCCAGGTACACGCTCAGCTGTGTCAAACCTTGGGTACGCTATTCTAGGACAAATCATCGAAATGATAACGGATTTTGATTATGACGAATACGTCAAAAAGCACGTAATGATTCCGTGTGGAATGATGTACACGAAAATTGGACGACCACATGTCTTCACAAAGACACGTGACACAAACGAACCGCTAATGAGTGACGTCACAAAAGTGAGCCCCGAGTTCGTTGGACCCGCATTGGGATGGGAATCGAACATGTATGACATCATGAGATTTTCTTCTTGTTTGGATGGGTCAGGAGACTTCAAGCTTTTGTCTGATAAATCTCTCAAGTCCTTAATGGCAAAACCTTCTGCAGCCCCAGTTCAACACAGCAGTACCTGGATCGGGGCTGGATTCAGTGTTAACAGTCGCGGCGCTATCTGGATGGAGGGGGAATTCTTCACGGATGATTTGTTGTTCTTCCATCATGGTCCTCTAGTCAAGGATGCACAGCAGCAGAATTCTGATACAACGACCCCTACAGCATATGCTGCTTTCTTCACGGGTCAGATGTTCACACCTTTAAAAAGTGGAATTCATGGCCTTGTGAAAGCAGAGAACACATGGTCTGCCGAAAATAAGTTTCTTGATGACTTGGCTGACGTAAAAACAAAATCCGGGAAAATAGAACAAGTAATAAAATATAAACTGGAAGAACACCATCTCCAAGGTTATACTCGCGCTCTGTCCCTCCTTCGTTACGACATCAAGTGGATAAATGGTTTTTCGTACCTGAAGAATACATACTTTGTCGTTATTGCTCAGAAATCAGACAAGCCACTCTTCGATAAAGTTGTCATTACACCAGGACTGACGGAATCAAGCTTAACCCAACATAAATTACACCTGGAGAAATCAGGTTTCAACTTAACGTACATGCAAAACTATATGTCGCATTCCCACCGTGGTTCCGTTTTCTTGGCAATCTTTCGGAAAAATTCCTACAAAAATTCGACAGTCATACGATACGGTGTTCAGCATTACACACAGTCGTACAAAAAACTGATCGAGCTTTACTCCGAGCAAGGCTACATTCCAACATCGCAGTCGCTGATGTACAATGGCGTGGATGGCCTTGTAAGCTTTATTCTCCAAGAGGACGAGGACAGGAAATCCCAAAAAGATTATCGATCTTATGAAGACATCCCGCAGTCACGACTCTATAAACTGGTCAACAGGAACGCCAGGTACAAGAGGAAACTAGTTTACTTAGACGAAGCAGACTACTTCGGAAAACCCCAATTTTCAGCAGTATTTGTTAATGATAAAGTGAATTCGATGCTATTCAATTCCAAACTATCTGTAAAAGACATGACAAAACTTATAAAGCGAGAGGAGATGTACGGCAAACTGCCTCGTATTGTTGTCGCATATGAAGACAAAGGTTCTCTGTGGTATGCAGTGTTTCTTGAGAGATGAACCAGACATAAAACTTGAATGGTTACAATAACTATGAAACAGAAAGCCTATTTTGAAGTGTAGCGAAATTCTTGCTACAAAAATTAAAAAACGTTGATATTATTGTAAATAAGATGGAATCAAAGCACAGCGTGATACTAGTACTGTTGGGCATATTTTCGCGCACACCATATTGTTAAGGTGGCAAAGTGGCCCACCGGAACTAGGTTAACCATTAGCCTAACCATAGGCTATATCATCCGCCCTTTAAACGAGGAAAGTCACTCTTCCCAAGTTTAGGCTTAAGTCTACAGTCTTAGGGAAATCATACAATTTTTCAAAGGATTCTTAACATATAATGGCGTGTTTTTATTTTGTATTTATTGATATTGATCGACAGATGCTTCTTACATGCTTATAAAAACATTTTATGTCTCTCCTGTCAAAAAAATACTTCTACGTGAGTACTGTGTAGTTGTGTACAGGGATTCACCTTCATTATCCAGTTGAATATTTTACTGGAATGGATCATTGATACGTAATTTAATTTTCATAATATATTTGTAAAGGCGATAATTGACAGACGCAGCTTCCTTTGTATCTCTGTTTAGTTTAATATACATGTGTTACAGAAAAATGTAATAAATCTTTTTAAAAAAAAAAAAAAACGCTTTACGTTTCTTTTGGGTAGGAAGATTTATGAAAAATTTGAACTCGTGTCCTGTTTACGGGAAAACATGCAATTAATTTCGTGTTATAACAAAGGTCGGCATTGTACGTATATGTTAAGGTAACACAAATTACAGAAATTTTAATTAATACATTTTTGTAAACAACTCCCAAAGATCATTGCACAGGAAATTCTTAAAGTCAGATAATCCAAAAGATTATAGCATTGGAAGTTCTTCACACAGGAAAAACTCTGAAGAATTAAGAGTATGGACCATTGACTATCCCAAAAAGTTATTGCATGGGAAGTTCTTCACTAAGGAAAACTCCAAGGAATTTAAAAGAGTATTGCATGGGAAGATCTTAGCATGGGCTATCCCAAAAGGTTATTGCACGGGAAGATTTTAACGTAAGAAAAACCTAGAGATCATTGCAATAGAATTTCAAGGATAACTCCATAGACTTTGCGATATTTATTAAGATCGGTCGCTGTTCTTTATTTTCACTTGTTCATTTTTAACATTCTTCGTAATTTGTCTCTAAATTATGTTTTTCTCATTTTCTTAACCTTTTTTAAAAATTTGTCGGGCATATTGACCTTGAGCATTTGTTATTTCAGGCCAAAAATGTGCGTGTTCGAAATGAACAATTCTAAATATTAATAACATAATAAGCTTTCATTAATCAATCTCCCCGTCAGGTTAACAATGGCGACAAAGTTCACAATAGCTTGTACCATAACGCGATGTTTCTCTCGCATGTCACATAAGACAGCTCGGGTTCCAATTGTTTTCTTTTCATTGCTTACAAAACTGATGTAAAGAGGAAAAAAGAAACGACCCCCAGCACCGGGGTTTTTCAATACGATAGAAATAACAAGGGAAACCCACAGTTTGTGCTTCATTAAGTTAGGCTAGTGTTTCAGCTGGTCTGTTCAAGTCTTCATGGTCCAAGTCAAAAAAATGGTCATTAAAATCAATCCCATGGCCGTGTTAATAACACTCTGACTCTATTTCTGGGAGTTTTGTTTTAAGGTGTTTATTCATTGCTTCATTTTGATTATTAATTACATTTAATCATTTCTGTTCCTACTAAAACACAGAAACCTGAGACTACGAGATTTGTGATAGAGCTTTTTTCTCATCTAATTATAGAAATAATCTCCCATGAATTTCCTACCACTGTTTTCCTCTTCAGTGAAGGAAGTCCACATTTCCCGGTGAATTACTGTAAGAGACACAGCGTGGTAGACAGAATAAGTAAAGACACAGCCAACGAAATATGAAATCAAATTAACCAAATATAATACACCCTACGTCCACATACTGAAATGACCAAAACAAACATAACGTAAGGAATTTAAATTTAAGCTTTGTTGGTCAAATTTTTAGACCCATTTTTTCTCTCGAGTTTTTGCTCAAAAGATACATTGTTCAGATTGATATTCTTTTGGAGCGCTGACAAGTCTAACACTCAAACTTGAGCGTGACTCACTGTAGTAAATGTAACTGTGTGCTTGTTTAATTAACATAAAAGTATAAAAATTAATAACATATAAAATTATTGTAACTGAATCTCTCTCTCTCTCTCTCTCTCTCTCTCTCTCTCTCAATGAGTTTAAATCAATAATGCATGCAACTGAAAACATCAACAAATTCTCAGCAACACTTGTAGAGAGTATTAGAGGTTTGAATGCAAGGTGCACATACGCATTGTTCCATAAAGAAAACTTAGGTAAACTTTCAGTGCATTGATTTGTACTACAGCCAACACTTCTGTTTAGACTGGTGTGTTCTGCAGCAACACAAAAAGAGTTTATGTTAATAGCCTGGAATTTGTTTAGGCGACAATTTTACGAACTAAAATGAAATACACCTCGTACTTTCATTGCTCATTTGGAAGTCCAGACATCTTAAGCACTCATACATCATCCCAAAAATCAAAATTATTGACAATTTTCTGACAACTGATGTCTTTATTTTTTTCTTCCTCAAATAAATGTAGGAATTGATATTCACTGTGTTTTATCCCCTAGGTTTAAAACAGCGGCATGGATATTCATAAGGTACTATAAATGTTGGATGAAATAGCCTCATTTCTGATTATATCTTAGCAAGATGACACTTTAACTTCAAAGGTATATTCATTTTATCACATATGCATAATTAGTGATTTATGACAGACACGTTGGAACAACTTTATCAGTCTAAGTAAGGAATTAGAAAATCCTTTCAAAAACACACAATTTGAATTTTTTTCAAAGCTTAAATCCTGATTATAACCATGAATTCAACCTGAAGAGCTTTTTTTTTTAAATATGGAGAGAAATGAAAGTGCACTTTTTAAACCAGAAGCACTCGGTGAATTTGCACGAACCTTGAAGTCTCCTTCCTGTTGTATAATAATTATAGAGAGGTAACATAGTACAGAGCATGCAGAGACTCTCTTCAGCCCAGATGAGAGTTTTCATTAAAACTTAGTATATTAATTAAGAAATAAATTATCTACATAACATTTTCTCTCGTCTTTTTCAACCAAAAAGGAGAGAGGAATTTTTAAAAGATGGTCAAAAAAGCTGAGATTTGAAACCTAACAGTTTGAGGTCTCAGGACCACCTTATGACTGGGACCCAACAGACCGAGTCTGAAAACCACGTGAACATCAGAAGACAACAGACAGAGATCTCAAGACTACCTTAAAACTGGGACCCAACAGACGGGGACATCAAGTCTACCTTAAGATTGGGACCCAACAGACTGGGGTCTGAGGAACACTTCTAAACCCAACAGACTGAGGTCTGATAATCACCTTAACTGGGGTTAAGACTGAGACTGATCTGATCACCTTAAGACTTCAGTCTGATGACTACCTTAAGATTGGGACCCAAAAGACTGGGGTCTGAGGAACACTTCTAAACCCAACAGACTGAGGTCTGATGATCACCTTAACTGGGGTTAAGACTGAGACTGATCTGATCACCTTAAGACTTCAGTCTGATGACTACCTTAAGATTGGGACCCAACAGACTGGGGTCTGAGGAACACTTCTAAACCCAACAGACTGAGGTCAGATAATCACCTTTTCTGGGGTTAAGACTTAGACTGATCTGATGATTACCTTAAGACTTAGGTCTGAGGACCACCTTAAGATTGGGACCCAACAGACTGGGTTTTGTTTAAACTGAGACTGATCTGATGATCACCTTAAGACTTAGGTCTGAGGACCACCTTAAGATTGGGACCCAACAGACTGGATTTTGTTTAGACTGAGACTGATCTGATGATCACCTAAAGACTTAAGTCTGAGGACCTCCTTAAGATTGTGACCCAACAGACTGGGTTTTGTTTAGACTGAGACTGATCTGATGATCACCTTAAGACTTAGGTCTGAGGACCACCTTAAGATTGTGACCCAACAGACTGGGTTTTGTTTAGACTGAGACTAATCTGATGATCACCTTAAGACTTAGGTCTGAGGACCACCTTAAGATTGTGACCCAACAGACTGGGTTTTGTTTAGACTGAGACTGATCTGATGATCACCTTAAGACTTAAGTCTGAGGACCTCCTTAAGATTGGGACCCTACATACTGGGGTTTGAAGACTGGAAACAGATGGACTTAAAACTTAAAACCGTGACCCAGTGGAGTAATATCCTGGTGGAGGCTGAGGTTGAAACCCCTCTAAGTTTGTGGCTTTTAGTTGTAATTTAAGCAGTATTTTTAGTATATTTAAAGACAATTATTTATTTATTTTACTAGGAAATATATTTTTGATAAAGAAAAGGGGTTTGAGATTTGGTTTTGTCTAAATTTGCCACTAGAAAACTGAGAAACGGTATAATGTGTGTAATCAAATCAGGTAAGTATTTCTATTTGAGACAAGAAATGGCCCAAAGGATCAAGCTGATAGAATTTCAAGTAAATCATCAAGTAATCCAAGTTACAAGAGTAAAGTCCATAGGCAAGGCAAAGTGTGTGAGAACTGTATAAAACTAACATTTAATTGTTTACAGAGACGGTTCTAGTGTCAACCATCCCGTAAAATAAGTTCTCACAAATACCTACATTGATATCTAGTCAAAGCACCCAGTGGAACTCAAACCCACATCAAGGGAGACATTTCTTCAGGTTCATTCAGATGAACTTTTGTCAATGCTACTTCTGATGGGAAATAATTAAAAGATGACTCACTTTGTCACCTGAACAGTCAAATACACATTATACACATTACCTGTGTTTTAATGGGTTTTTAACACTTGAGTTTTACAACAAGAGTTCTATAAAGCAGGGGAGGACTGAATAGTTTTTACTATGCCTCAAGATTAAACTTAAAATTTAACTTCACTTAACAAAATGGACACATTATTCACAGCTCTTGTTATATTTACCATCAAGTTGATATCAATTTTGGCAAACCATTGCAACTTTGTTTGAGAGAAGTTTCTTTATGCAGAGAGGTGTGTTTAAAGGTGATTTGAGCTGTATATACTTGGGCAAAAGTGCAAATGAGTCTTTAGTGTAACTAATGTTAGAGGTTAAGAAATGGCCGATAAATTCACAGTTCCCATAGAATGTTACTGAACAATGTAAATCTAGACCCCTGACTGAGTTATAAATGGGTGCTCTCTATTTTATGTGACAAGCTTTATTAAAAACTAGGATAATGTACAACTGTCTTGAACAATAATACACAGGCAACTTGAAGCTAAAAACCTGTTTACATTTGAATTAACATATAAGTAAACAACCAACATGATCAACCAAGTACATGAATTTTTATTTGTAGGAATTAAATAAGCAGCTTTTGTATCCAATGATCTTCAATAAAATACAAATCAATGTAAATTAACAATCAATCTAATTGAGCATTTTCTTTTAAAAAGTATTAAGTTTGACTTGCACTTTGTAATGTACTCTTAGAAATCACTGAGAAGTATCTGTTAAATATGAGAAAATCATTATACCAG